GGGAAGCGGTCCTCCAGCTGCACAGGGGGAAGATGAACAATTAGACAAATGGCGATGTTAGAATTAGTTAACCCAGTCAGAAGAGTAGGTACAACTACAATGCCCTTACCCACTGCCGAAAAGTGTGATGTTATTAGGTATGTCAAATCCGGGTCGACCGGGGCTGATGGTATGACCCTGGCCAACTGCTCATAGGAACTGAGGTGGGTGGAAGGGTGTATGACATTAAGAATAATCCAATTAAGGGGTTTACATTGGTCCCTAGTAGGGACAGGGTCTACCAGGGGTAACCAGGTTACGGGGTAGCTGGACGCGATGGCTGGCGCAGGATGGAGCGCGAGTGGGGGGCAATTTGTGTCATCGTGCCCCCCTGGGCGCTCTGCTCCCCGTTTCCCGACGGCTCGCATGAACACGGTCTTAAATCTGGCAGAGAGGAAAAAGTGACCCTTTTCTGTAATTTGGGTGACCTCTTAGGGGAAAGGGGTTCGCCATTGACATTGGTCATCGAGCGGCAGCTCGAAGTCCAATGGCGTCCCTTCCCGCACCTACGACAGAGAGTCTTGGGTAAACCTGGTTCTGTTGTTAGCTTGGGACAATGTTTGCGGAAATGCCCTTTCTCACCACACCCAAAGCAATGTTGGGGACCCGTAAAGGCAGCAGCCATCAGACATGCTTTATGGGCATGGGATCCGATGTTCTTGCATGCGTCGATCATTTCTAGCAGAGTGGGATCTTTTAACATCTTTAAAACTCGCTGGCAGTCCTCATTAGCTTTTTCTATTACCAATTTATTAAATAAAATTTCTTGGCTTTCCTTTTGGTGGACTTGCCTAGCAATAGCTTCCTTTAGCCGAGTTATGAATTCAACGAATGGTTCTTTTGTGCCTTGATTAATTAAAGTGAAAGAGGGCGTTTGCACATATGCATCAGCCACTCTTTTCACGGCTTCTAATGCCAATTCTTTTGTTACATTTAATAATTTAGGGTCGAGACGAGTTTGATCCCTTCTGCTAGAATAATTCCCTTCCCCATAAAGCATGTCCACCGCTTGCCTGACAGGGATTCCCCTTCTCTCCATTTTATCATTCACAAACGTCACAATCCGCTTTTTCCATTCAGCCTCAAACACGGAGGCCTGTACCGTGGTAAACAATTCCCCAATTACAGCCCGAATGTCATAGGGTATGAGGGTATTAGCTAGGAAGAAGGACTCCAATAAGCCAATAGTAAACGGAGCCCCCAACCCGTATTCCATGATTGCTTTCTTAATATCCTTTAACATTGGATATGAGATTGGCCTCCATTCAGGGGCCTTTCCCTCTTCAAAGTACACCGGGAAAGCTCTTAAGAATTCAGTGTCTTTTGCGCTTGCTGCTTCCTCCCTGAAGGCTTTCCAGATGTCTGGAGCTGTAAGTTGCCTTTCAGGGGAGCGCGGCGCCCAGTCACAATCAGATTCTAAGTCGCGGCAGGCGGGGTAGGCCTTGGTGGTACGCGGCCTATGGGAGCGGCCATCTTGGTGGAAGGAAGCTTTGACCTTTGCCCTTGCCCCGCCCACTGCTTCCCGCCCCTTCCTGGAGGGCGACACATCGGGGGAGGAGATGGGACTGGTGGAAGTAGGCGTGGTTGAGGGTGTGTCGGGGGAGGGGCTTCTCACGCGACGTGTAGGTGGAGACGGAGGTGGCCCAGAGGGTGGAGCTACAGGGGCCAGCCTCCTCTTTTCCCGCGCCGATCTTTCACGCGGTTCTCCCTCCCGCCTTTTCTCTGCGCGGTCCCGGGGTCCCTCCTCCTCGACGCCATTTTTTGATCGTCGCGATCCTCTTTTTCGCACCCTCCTGCCATCTTGTGACTCACTGTTCATCTCCCGCCCACCATTTTGTGTGCCTTTGCGGTCGGTGTCTTGATTCGTGTGCTCTGTTTTCTCTTTAGGGAGGCTGATGTTCTTGTTCATCATTTGGTGCTGTAGCACCATCAGAACAAGCCTCCACGCTATGAGTGCTTCTTTAGCGGTTCTGTCGCCCTTATCGCCACCTCGCCAGAGGTTGTAGCCTAAGGCTTGCCACCTTTCCAATCCGATGTCATCTGTTATCGTGCAGCCTTGGCGGTCTAACCACCTGGCGAGCGCTTTAGCTGATTTTTTGTCGAGTGGATGGCCATGCTCAATAACAAAGTCTTTAAGGTGACGGTAAACAAACTTCTGGGAGGTGGAAAGTGTGAGCCCCATGATGTTAGCCGGGTTTCTCAACACACTTCCAGATGTTATTCCTCCCTTTTTAATTTTAGGTTACGGGGGTGAGGTGTTGGGTGAGGGTGTTAGGAATGTCCCCTGCAGCTCACCTTTCCAGGTGCGCGACCCCTGCGACTCACTCGAAGTCCACAACCGTCAGCTATGCAGAGGAGGGTCGGCGGAGCGATCTCCCCTCCTGGAGATGCTTGAGCCCAATTGGCAACACAGGAGTTCTCCTGATACAGGAGACCTCTACTGGGCTCCACGTTGGGTGCCACTTGCCACGACCCGCGGGAAAAAGGAATGGGATTGGGCACTGCAAATCAGGGTCTTTACACAGTAGAAGTCTCGGGAAGCAATGCCAGACTTTATTAGGGAAACAGTAACTTATATGGGGTAGGTTTAGGGGTGGAGTTTGGGCTAGAGAGGAGTATAAGATTGGTAACTCAAGGATGAATGTGATTGGGTAACTGGGTAAGGAGGGGAGGAGTTTGGGTGTAGCTGGGGGAATGGGCCAATGGTAGCTGCCTCTGCACTGCACCAAAGATCAGCCAATGGCAGGCAGAGGAGCGGGAAAACAGGGTTAAGGTGGAAAACTATGAGGGGAAGAAGGAGACAATATGGAGGATAAATTTAAAAACAACAACTGGGGGTACACACAACCATATAACAATATAATAATAAACTGGGGAAAAGTGGAGTAAAACTGTCAAGTCCAGGGAATGTCATATCCAGTATAAGAGTGTCCAATCTGGTACAAAAGTGTCCATTTAGGGGTCATAAATCTTTCTCCAAGCTTCATATTTTTCCCACTCCGTCTCTCCTCCTCCAACATAGATAAGGATGAATTTTTTCTTTTTTTTTTTTGCATCTCCAGGATTAGGTGGCCAGAGAGGAACTGTGTGCTTACTGTGAACACATCCTGAGTTATAAACGGTTGTAGTGGGTTTCTGTGGCTGGGTTTGGGTAGCGAGGGGGGGGCTACAGGGGTGGCTTCTGTTAGAAGCTGCCAGAAGCTTCCCCTGTCGCGTGGAGCCAATGCCAGCTGACTCCAGGATGGACTTCCTGTCCCTGGCCAGGCCAAGCCAACCAAGAGTAATAGTAATGCCTCTGTGATAACATATTTAAGAATAGAAAGGTATTGCATAGAAAGAAATCCAGCCAGGGAAGAGCGGAGTGGGAACATGTGAACAACAAGGTAGACACCAAGGTCAGTGCAGAAGGAGGGACAGGAGGTGCTCCAGGCACCGGAGCTGAGGCCTCTGCGGCCCATGGTGCAGACCATGGTGGAGCAGCTGTGCCCCTGCAGCCCATGGAGGACCATCAGGGTGCAGAAAGCCACCTGCAGCCCATGGAGGAGCCCATGCTGGAGTAAGTGGATTCATGAAGGAGGTTGTGACCCTGTGGGAGGCCCAAGATGGAGCGGGGTCCTGCCAGAGACCTGCAGGCCATGGAGAGGGAAGTCCACACTGGAGCAGATTTTTCCCAGGTAGGACTTGTGGCCCCTGTGGGGGACCCATGTCGGTGCATCTCGCTCGTGAAGGACTGCATCCCATGGAGGAGTGACCCACGGGACAGCAGTTTGTGAAGAACTTCTGCCCAAGAGATGGACTCAGGCTGGAGAGGTCCATCAAGGACTGTCTCCCGTAGGAGGGACCCCATGGGAGCAGGGGAAGGACTCTTCTCCCTGAGCAGTGGCAGAAACAACAATTGATCATAACCCCCATTCCCAGTCCCCCTGCAGTGCTGGGGGGGAGGAGGGAGAAGATGGAAGGAAGGAGGGGTGAGGGGAAGGTGTTTTTAAGGCTGTTTTATTTCTCACTCTTTGGCTCTTATCTTGTCAGTAATAAATTTAAGTACTATCCCCACTTTGATTCTGTTTTGCCCATGCAGGTAATCAGTAAGTGACCTCTCCCAGCTGTTATCTCAACTCATAAATCCTTAGCTGCTTTTTTTTCTCTCCTTTGTCCAGTTGCAGAGGGAGAGAGTGGCTTTAGTGGGTACTTAGTATCTGGCCAGGGTCAACCCACTACAGCTGTTAATAACTCAGCCCCTGTAAGAACAAGGTCTCCTCTCAGAAGAGCAATGGGGACATAGACTCCCTTCAGAAGGAGTTTTCATATCTGGTTTTGTACCAGATGAGCATGAAATCTCAATCCTTCAAAATGTTTCACATAAATAAAGCACATAAAAAAAGTTTGAGCCAGCTAAACAGAGGTTTGATTTTACATCTAAACTGTTAACACTGATAATAAATGCAAATGCAATACCGAACAGTTATCACAATTGGATTGAACTTGCTAAGTGCTTTGTAAATTTTGCTGAAAAAAAATGGAGGAGTATCTTTCAGAATATGAATAATATTTAATTTCAATACTCCACTCCAGGCTCTATTTTTACAATAGCTGAAAGAAAATTCAAATTGTTTTACACAAGACTTACATAACTATAAAATTAAAGAAATATTTTTATTTAAACAGAACAATTACAAAAAATCTTAATTTAATGCATAACTTGGGCATTTTTCAATTTGACCTCACCTAATTGTTTCTCTGTCAGTCCATGAACCTCCAAAATTCATTTTTCACTCAAATCTTTCCCTGAAATGGCCTTTCATGGTGATGTGTGAAGAATTAAAAATGAGGCTACCTCTAGCCTTCTGCAGATGAAGAACACACCAAACAAGCTCAAGATCCTGAAGTAGAACAAAGAAAAAATGAGCAAAAAATTAAAAAAACCAAACCACCACCATCAACAATGAAAAATACAGAAGTGCTTCAGTTTACGATCAGGCTGCAAAACCTGTTTTCACCCAAGTAAGAGCAGTGCTATTGTTCAGGTTGTAACTTTTTGTGATATAAAGTCTTCAGTGCAGGGTTCCTATAAAAAGAATTGGATGACATCTGTGCACTGTCCTTGGTGCAGCTGCTGGTGGGGTTGGAGGTGGTGAGGAAACCCATCACAGAGAGGATGGAAGAGGACCCCAAGAGCTGCACTGTGCACCAGCTCCTCTCTGCTCCTGCCTGGCATATCCCATCATCCAGCATGTGGTTTTATAAATAATTTTATCATTTTTGCAGGAACCAAAGAGAAAGTTAGGAAAGATAAGTGTGTTTCTTGCCGAAGTCAAGACCAAAGGAAGAAAGTAGACCAAGAAGGAACATAACTTTCATATTTTATATATATATAATATATATGATGTATATGTACTATATATATCGTAATTTATACAGCTTCAGTACCACAAAGACAAGTGGATAGCTAATGTTTTGCTTTTCCTTGGTGCTCTCTCTTTTTTCCTACTTAATTCTCTTATTTGCTTCTACACTGGAATTATTTTTTTAAAACAGTTTAAGTCACTTTCCCAAAGTAAAAATAAAGAATAATATAGAATAAAATTTGGAAAGAAATAATCATGGATATGTTTTGTCTCACAAGCAGAAGGCATTTTATTTAGTGCAAATCCCATAAAACATTCGTGAGTTTTGGAGCTTATTTTATATGCTGTTGTATGTTAACTTTACAATACAAAAAACCCCAACTATTTTATTTAATTTTTTTCCCAAGTTTTAAAGCTGTAGGCCTTGTGGGTCTCTGAACTCCAACCCTAATGGTAGTTAAAGGCTGAAGTTGAGGTCCTAAACACCATGGGTGCCCCAGAGTAGAAAGGTGTGGAGGGAACAAATTTGGTGCAGTTCCGTGTTCCACTTTTTCATCCTGTTTCTTTGATTTACATACAATATTTTTTTTGTAAGCCAAGCTGTTTTACATTTGTTTCTGTTTGTGCAACATCTGCCTTAATGGTCACCACATAAATCTGATTGGTGCTAACCCATAAATAATGAATTCTAATAAAAACTGAAATAAATAACAAAAGTTTCTAAATATGATAGAATAAACAAAGGTTGATACTTGTAAGGAAAAACTCATTAAGAACACCACAGAGAGCTGTATTTACAGAGATAAAGTTTTTATATGCTGAATAATTTAGTTATTATTAATAATCATAAGATAGTTTGGGTTGGAAGGGGCATGTAAAGATCACCTGGTCCAACATCCCTACCATGGGCAGGAACACATTCTACTTAATCAAAGTAGAAAGCTCAAAGCTCCATTCAGCCTGGCCTTGAACAATTTCAGGGCTAGGTCATCTACCACCTCTCTGGGCAACCTGTGCTGGTGTATTGCTACCCTCATAGTATATAATGTTTTCCTCTTCCAGTTTAAAAACTTCACTCACTACAGGCCCTGTTAAAAATTTGTTCCCATTTTTCTTATAAGCCCCCTTCAGGTACTGAAAGGCCATAATAGGGTCTGTCTAGACCCTTCTCTTCTCCAGGCTGAACAGTTCCAACTCTCCCGGCGTATCTTTATAGGAGAGGTGCTCCAGCCCTCTGATCGCATTTATGTCCCTCTGTGCAACTGCTCTAACAAGGCTGTGTCTTTCTTGTACTGGGGACTCAGAGATGGATGCAGTGCTCCAGGTGGGGTCTCACAAGAGCAGAGCAGAGGGGCAGAATCACCTTCCTCGACCTGCTGGCCACTGTGATGCAGACCGGGATATGGTTGGTTTTCTGGGTTGATTGCACATTGCTGGCTCATGTCCAGCTTCTCATCCACCAGTGTCCAATCCCTTCTCCTCAGGATTCCTTTTAATCCCTTCCTCCCCCGGTGTGTATTGCTATTGGGAATTGCCCACGTACAGCACCTTGCATTTGGCCTTGCTGAACTTCTTGAGGTTAGTTATCTGCTTTCAAAACGCTAAAAATAGCTGACTAATTCCCAAAGACTTTAGTTAGTGTGGAGGGAGGCAAAAGCTCCTTTCAATAAAGTCTAAGGTCCTAAGGTCTAAGTTTCCAATCTCCGCTCTTCCAGGCAAATGATATCATACTGGTATAAATCAAAAGAAAATATGGATTAAGTAGGTACTCAGTTAGTAAAATCTATTGACAAAGAAGTTTTGATATATAACCATTAACATGTTTCTTCTCTTGGGT